TCAAACAAATGAATCTGAGGTTTGTTTGAGCGATGTGCAGTTGGATGCTTAAGTTAATTCTTTGGATGATAACACTGTGGAAGAATCCTATGCAGAGGCTTTTATTTCCTTATTTGAGTCACCAAATCAGCAAAATTCAAAGACAGAAAGTTAAAGTGTCAATTCCAAATCACATCTCAGAATCTCGAAGTTTTTCTTCACCTTCTATTCCTTGCAAATTTTCATCTTTAATCGAGCTTTGCAATACTCGAGGTTTATTGGTTGTTGTCATTTCCAAGAATCTCTTTAGCAGAATTAATTACTGAGGTTTATTAGATAGAATTAATTTCACGCATTGTTTCAAGATAGCTTTAATCTGTTCATTGGAATATTTGGTGAAGATGTTTGGCTGCATTTTTAATTAAGACTTTTTGGCTTTAGTCTTTTTCTAAAAAATTGAGCATATAACTATGAGCATGCTATGTTGTCAAGTTAAGACTTGTTGGTGTAATTGATTTATCTTGGGTGCCTCCATCCTCTATTGAAGTTATGGGGTATAACTGATTTATCTTAGATAAATGGTGAAATGCAACAAAATTTATTCTATTTAAGATAGCCTTTAACTTGTAAACTGCCCTCGGACATGAGGGGGGAAAATGTGGTCATTGGGGTTGGTGAAAAAGTAAATTGTCTAGAAAGAGTTCAAATTTCATGGTAGACACATGACCTGTCTATGATGTTAAAATCCTACAAGTTTCCATAATATAGACGTCTTTGGATATCCTACAAGTTTCCACATGACTTGATAGCCAAACTGAATTAGGGACTCTAAATAGGGACATAAAATAGACGTCTTTGGAGTTCGAATCCTTTTGAAGTTTTTTTCATGTAGTTCCCCCTTTCTGCATTTGGTGAATCCCTCTCCCTCATGTGTTTGTCTTAACCTCGCTGTGGAATTTTTTTTCCAAAATTGTTAAATTCTTTGAGTAGCAGCTTATTCATGAAAGAGTTAACATCTTAAATTAGTTTATCGAGGAAATTGCTCAGTTTGGTAGGGTCATTTTGTTGTCAGGGGCAACAGTAGACCATGATCATGTTCTTTGGAGTTACGACTTTTTGATAGTTTGGAGTTGTTTCTTTGAGGTGTTTGCCCTTTAGTTTGCGAGACACGTGGTTGCAGAGATGATCGAGGAGTTCCTTCTCCATGTGCTCTTTTGGGTGAATGGGAGGTTTTTATGGCAAGCTAGTTTTTGTGAGAGAAGTTATTAGTCTTCTATATTTCATTGCGAAGAAAGATTGAAGACAAAATTTTCTTTATTTGCCTCTATTAAAAGAATTCTGTTCTGTAGGTTACTTCTGCACCAGAAGATGTTGGAACCGTGGGTGCACTTCGGGCCGTTGCTCACCATTTGACAGCAAATGATATTTTGGTTAGACTCGACCACTTTAAACAGCATTTGCTCAGTAATTGTGCTTATTTACAGTTTTGAGTCCTTTGCTTTTCTGCAGGTTGTGAGTGGTGACCTTGTTTCTGATGTTCCTCCTGGTGCAGTTGCAGCTCTGCATAGACGACATGATGCTGTCGTTACTGCTATGCTCTGCTCTGTTCCAGTCAGTGGACCTTCAGAGTCTGGATCCTCTGGTGGAAAAGATAAGACCAAAAAAGCAGTTGTCCACAATATTGTTGGACTTGATCCTACCAAGGAATTTTTACTATATATAGCGACAGGTTAGCATTTGTATAGAATTTATCCATTGAATTTTTCTCAACATGCCCCTTATATATTGTATTTATTTTCTTCCAGCTGCTGAAGTTGAGAAAGACTATAAAATTCAGAAGAGCATACTCCGTGCAGTTGGCCAGGTAATTGTTGCTATATTATAAGGTGTTCTTTTGGTAAAAGGTCATTACTTTTAAAACCAAGTTGTTTTTCTATTGATGACCAATGTGCTTGATCAAAGGTATCGAACCAAACCTATTTGGGCCCTTTGAGGTTTCACAGTTTTTGTGGAGCACTTGATTTGCCCTGTCAATTATTTCATCTAGTTGGTTAGCTTTTCAATTTTCACAATTTCGATTTGATTATTACATTTTATAAATCCAAGTTTTAATTGTTAAATATGACTTATTCATGTTAAATGTGAACTTCATGGGTTTAAATTTACTATATCTCCATCTTTCTTTGATGTAGATGGATATCCGAGCTGATCTCATGGATGCGTATATGTATGCGTTCAAAAGGTCCCAATTTAATTATCTTCCTGGTTACTACTTCAAAACATTTAGATCATAATGTTGTTTATATCCTCATACATGTTCCCTTGTTTAATCTTCCAGATCTGCTTTGCAAGAGGTTCTAGATCAAAAAGAAAATTTCCGAAGCTTAAGACAAGACGTGTTGCCCTATCTTGTGCGGAGCCAGTTGGTTAGTTTATAATGCTACAACATATTCTATTGTGTCAACAGTAAGTGTATTTAAATTTGCTGAACTAGATTAATTTAATTTCTTCATTGAACATAGAGGTCCGAAGTTTTATCGAACGTAGCACCACAAGTGGAAGAAAATGGGAGTGAGAAGGTTGGTTCCCACAAGAACCAAGCCTTGCTTTCACGGATCCTCTCTAATTCATCTACTACAAGTTTTCATGATCTTCATGCACATGGTACTAATGAATCTATTCCTGTTCGAAAAACACATAAATGTTGTGTTTATATTCCCGCTAGTAGCAAGTATTGTGCTCGCTTATATTCAATTCAAGCATACTGCGACATTAATCGGGATGTAAGTTTATTGTATTGCTCAATCTCTCTCTTGCATCTTTATATTTCCTTGACTGAGGTTTGATTTAATGTTTGTAAGGTTATTGGAGAGGCAAGTCATCTTTCAGGTTACTCATTCTCTGCTCAAAATAACATCATTCATCCTTCTGCACAACTCGGATCAAAAACCACCGTGAGTTAAATACCGTCACCTCTATTATAGAATTCCTAATGTTGAAATGCTTTATCATAAGTAGAAGGCTGTCACTTTAATTTGCTTGTGTTTTTTCAAAGAAATATGAAAGTCAAACTTTTCCTAAGCACAAGTCAATTGGTTTAGCCATATACTCTCATGCTGTTGAGACGGATGTCACTTCCTTGTTATTCTTATTCCTGAGTTCATCTAATATTTGTACTTCAGAATGTTGGTTACTTCGTTCTTGTTATATTGGTCATTCCCCTGTACTAAATATGATGGTTTCAGGTGGGACCCCATTGTATGTTAGGAGAAGGTTCACAGATGGGTGACAAATGTAGCGTGAAACGGTCAGTAATTGGCCGCCATTGCCGGATAGGTTCCAATGTGAAGGTATAATAGAATGAGTTTTTTTGGGGTTAAAATGAGGAACTTATTGTGTTATCATTTCGTCATCTATGAAATTACTAAGGTTGTAATGTATCATCGTATGGTAATATTCCAAATTTGATCGATGTGGTTTGAAAAAATAAAGAAAGAATTTAGTTCTTATTGTTTTAAAGATAGAATTTAGCTCTTATGAGAATGTAACCTAAATTCTATCATCTGGTTCTGCTGATCTAGTTAGTTCGGGTTGGTCGAACCATACTAACTCTGAAGTTTTATGACCCCCGTCAATACAGATTGCCAATTCCATCGTCATGGATCATGTTACCATTGGAGATGGTTGTTCAATTCAAGGTTCGGTTATCTGCAGCAACGTACAACTTCAGGAGCGCGCCGTTTTGAGAGATTGTCAAGTAATTACTCTCACCTCCTCCCCTCCCCTCCCCTCGGGGCGTCATTGCTCCCCTTATCCCATCTCTCTGTTGTCATCTCCTTATATCTACTTCAACTTTCCTTCCAGGTAGGAGCAGGTTTTGTGGTGACTGCTGCCTGTGAGTACAAAGGTGAAGCCTTAGCCAGAAAAGAAAAATGAAATTAGGAAGAGAGAACATTGCCTTGAAAATGAACATTGTTTTGAAGAAAAATAAGTGTGAATTAATTACGAGGTAGTAGATGAAAGTTTTGTTGTATTCTTCTTGATTTATTTCATTGGTAGTTCTTACCTTGTTCACATTAGACAGCATTTACTTGGTCCAATTATTCATGTTTCAATTTGCTCATTGCATTTTCCTTTTGTGTAAGAGCTTCCTTTGATCATAAACCAAATATATGTTTGATTAATGGCACTAGGAGTATGATCTACAACTTGTTAAAGCTTGTTTTATGCATTTCAACGTCTCAGAACACATGTTATATGACATTAGATACTTATTTTCCAATCAATATGCTTAGATTTTAGGGCTAAATAATACTTGTATGTTCAAAATAAACTAAAAATTTACCCTAAAATATAGGTTTCATTTACTTTAGATTTCTAGAGACGTTTTGATTCAGAATCGAATAGACGTTGAATTTGGTTTATTCATAAGTGCATATGAGGTCGGAATTCCTCTCACTGAAGTAAAAAACATGTTAGGGTCGTTTTTTTATCTTTATTGTATCTTTTTTTTAAAGAAAAATAACCGTTTTTTCTACTATTATTATAGATGTTACAAGTTTAATTTTTGTATATATATATAATTATTGGATCAATGTATAAATAGCTACTAAATAATTATTTTAAAATTAATTAATTTCAATAAAAAAAATTTGTTTTTTTTTTACCCTAGTCAAATTTATATCAAACCTATGTTTTTGAATTTATTAAATTTATATAGAATATTATTTTAATTATTTTTCAAACAAAAACTTAAAAATTATAACAATTCTTTAAATTCAGGGTTAAATGGAAGCATTACCGTAAAAAATAATGTGGGTAAAAATAATATATATATTTATTTAAATACAAATATAAAGGTAGAGACTAAAATAGTAATTTAAAAAATAAAAGAAAATGGTGAATATGAGGGAAAAAAAAAAAAAAAACATTTTCCCCTCATTTTCGTACGCAGCGGCGGCCTCCAACGGTGTTTTTATTTATTTATTATTTTTATTTTTCTGAACCATTCCTTATTTTTCTTCCTTTTTCAAAACCCCTATTTCAAGCGCCCGTTCCTCCCTGGCCATTGTACTGTTCGCCCGCCGTTCCTGCCCGACGCGGTCCCAGCCGCCGCCCCGTACGCTGCAATCTCAGCCTTCGACGGACTCGCCGCTGCTCCCTCTCTCCCTCTTACACTCTTTCGCCTCTCCGAGCAATCAGAGTTTCTTGTTTCTGTCTGCCCCTAACCCTTACCGTCGGTGAGATTGCGCTGCCGCTCAGTTTAAGGATCACCCCGAGGTTTTGATTGTTTATTTATTTAATTTATTTTGTTGTGTTGTTGTGTTCACCCACGAAGAAGAAATCAATGTGGCATTTTCTTTTTCGTTTTGTTTGGAGTAAAAGTTGAAATTGAAAAGACAAAAAGCTGAAGTATTATCTTTGGGAAGGGAATTAACAATCATATATGGTCTCTGTGCAGAAACAGTTCAAAACCCAGCTCCTACGCTTTTGCAAAATCGCACGCAACTGCTGTACATAGCTCGAACGCCACTTCAAGTTTTCATTTGGCGCTCCAAGAAGGAATAGAATAAGCAATAATCTGCATATTGTAGAGGAAAATAGAAGTTTTATTTGTGTGTCGATTAGATTTCTAAGGATTTGTGGTTTTTTTAGGGTCTTTCTCAGAACTAGGTAAAATGGGTGATCTGGAAACTCAAAGAATTAGAAACATATGTATATTAGCACATGTCGACCATGGCAAAACGACGCTTGCCGACCATCTTATTGCCTCCTCGGGGGGTGGTTTGATCCACCCGAAGATGGCGGGCCGCCTCCGTTTCATGGATTATCTTGATGAGGAACAAAGGAGGGCGATTACTATGAAGAGCTCTTCGATTGGTTTACGGTACAAGGAATACTCCATAAACCTCATTGATTCGCCTGGCCATATGGATTTTTGCAGTGAAGTGTCGACTGCTGCTAGATTGAGTGATGGGGCATTGGTTTTAGTTGATGCTGTGGAGGGTGTGCACATTCAAACCCATGCTGTTTTGCGACAGGCTTGGATTGAGAAGCTTACGCCATGTTTGGTTCTTAATAAGATCGATAGATTGATATGTGAGTTGAAGTTGAGTCCTATGGAGGCGTATACTCGTTTGTTGAGGATTGTTCATGAAGTTAATGGGATAATGAGTGCGTACAAGTCTGAGAAATATTTGTCTGATGTGGATTCAATACTTGCAAGCTCTACAGGTGAGGTAAATGATGAGAACCTCGAGTTAATTGAGGATGATGAGGAAGATACATTTCAACCCCAGAAAGGGAATGTTGTGTTTGTGTGTGCGTTAGATGGGTGGGGATTTAGCGTTAATGAGTTCGCTGAGTTTTATGCTTCAAAGCTTGGGGCAAATGTATCTGCATTGAAGAAGGCCTTGTGGGGTCCTCGGTATTTTAATGCAAAGACGAAGATGATCGTTGGAAAGAAGGCCTTGGCTGGAGGAAGTAAAGCTCGACCTATGTTTGTTCAATTTGTGCTTGAAAGACTTTGGGAAGTTTATGGGGCTGCTCTAGAAACTGATGGGAATAAGGAGGTGCTTCAAAAGGTTAATAGCACATTTAATTTGAATATACCAGCTCGAGAACTTTCTAACAAGGATCCAAAGGTGGTTCTTAATGCTATTATGAGTCGTTGGCTTCCTCTTTCAAATGCAATATTATCAATGGTTGTTAACTGTATGCCTGACCCAATTGCTGCACAATCATTTCGAATATCACGGTTGCTTCCAAAGAGGGATGTCATTGATGCTGAAGTCGATGTCAATGTGCTAACCGAGGCAGATCTTGTCAAGAAATCCATTGAAACTTGTGATACGAAGCCTGAGGCTCCATTTGTTGCTTTTGTATCCAAGATGTTTGCAGTGCCAGTTAAAATGCTTCCAAGGAGGGACGATCATGGCGGGACTACTAATATTTCATCTGATGATGGTGGCGATGGTGAATCAGACGAGTGTTTCCTCGCATTTGCAAGGATATTTAGTGGGGTTCTTTATTCTGGACAGAGAGTTTTCGTGCTTTCAGCTTTATATGACCCAACAAAAGGGGAATCGATGCAAAAGCACATTCAGGAGGTTGAGCTGCATTCATTTTATCTAATGATGGGCCAAGGCTTGAAACCAGTGACCTCTGTAAAAGCAGGAAACCTTTTAGCAATTCGTGGTCTTAGCCATCACATACTGAAAAGTGCAACTCTTTCATCCACAAGAAATTGCTGGCCTTTCTCAAGTATGGCATTCCAGGTTGCGCCAACCCTGAGGGTTGCACTCGAGCCATCTGATCCTGGAGACATAGGTGCCTTATTGAAAGGCTTAAGGCTTTTAAATCGAGCAGACCCTTTTGTAGAGGTAACTGTTTCATCTCGAGGAGAACATGTACTTGCTGCAGCTGGAGAAGTCCATCTTGAGAGATGCATAAAGGATTTGAAGGAGAGGTTTGCCAGGGTAAGCTTGGAGGTCTCTCCACCTCTTGTATCTTATAAAGAAACAATTGAAGGCGAGGCATCTAGTGTGTCGGATTATTTTAAAGTGTTACCTGCAAGCACAGAGTGTGTCGTTAGGAAAACCCCAAATGGTAGATGTGTTGTCAGAGTGCAGGTACTAAAACTTCCACTTGCTCTAGCTAAAGTACTTGATGAAAATTCTGGTGTTCTGGGCGATATTATTGGCGTCAAGTTGGGGCAAAGCTATAAAAACTTGGAAACCAAGAGATCAACTTTGAGGGAAAATGAGAATCCAGCAGAAACATTAAAGAAACTCATATCAGATGCAGTGTGTAGCAATGTATCGTCGAAGGATGACAAACATAATGCACAGTGGTCAAAGCTTCTTAGGCGAATTTGGGCACTTGGACCACAGCAGATTGGTCCTAACATTCTGATTAACCCAGATCCTAAAGTAAATGATTCTGATTGCTCTGTTCTTATTCGGGGTTCATCTCATGCATCACAGAGACTGGGTTTCGTGGACGGTTCTTCAAATGATGATTTGGATGCTGAAACATCGTCGGTAAGTGATGTTGCTTCTGTAGCATCATCAGAAGGAGCTCAGACATTAAGCATGGAAGCAGCATCTCTTGAGAACAGTGTTCTATCTGGGTTTCAGCTTGCTACATCAGCCGGGCCCTTATGTGATGAACCTCTGTGGGGGTTGGCGTTTATTGTCGAGGCTTCTATTTCTTCATTGCCTGGGAATTCAGATGAGTTCGAACCTCCCTTTCAATCAGAGAATAATACTATCTTTTCCGGGCAAGTTATGGCAGCTGTAAAGGATGCCTGTAGAGCAGCTGTACTTCAAAAGAAACCTCGGCTTGTCGAAGCCATGTACTTCTGTGAATTGAACACTCCCACCGAGTATTTGGGTCCAATGTATGCTGTACTTGCTCGAAGGCGAGCCCGGGTTTTGAAAGAAGAAATGCAGGAAGGTTCACCTTTGTTTACTGTGCACGCATATGTACCAGTTTCAGAGAGTTTTGGTTTTGCAGATGAGTTAAGGAGGTGGACTTCAGGAGCTGCAAGTGCTCTTCTAGTGCTTAGCCATTGGGAAGAACTATGTGAAGATCCGTTCTTTGTCCCGAAGACGGAAGAAGAAATTGAAGAGTTTGGAGATGGTTCTAGCGTGCTTCCCAACACAGCCAGAAAGCTCATTGATACTGTAAGACGGCGTAAGGGTCTTCCTGTGGAAGAAAAAGTTGTGCAGCATGCAACAAAGCAGAGAACACGTGCTCGAAAAGTATAGAGATAGATCACGTCATGATTTGTACGAGTACTATAATGCAATACATCCTTAGAATTCAAACCTTTATGAGGCAATACATCCTTAGATTACTATTCAAATCTTTTTATTTACTTGTCTTCTTCTTTTCATTTCCTATCAGGTTCCTGGAGGGGGCCGGGGGGGACATAGTCTGTAGTACTTGTTGATTGTAAAATGATTGTTGGTGGAACACTTATAACTTCCAATTCTTTTCATTTATATAGTTTTGATCAATTTTGGAACATTTCCAGCTTCCAATCTTGTTAGGTAGGAAAAGAACTAGAGAAGAAAGAGGAGATAAGTATCAATGGAGTTTGTAACTCTAGTTGGCATCTATCTAGGAAATTCTAACTCCAATCCTTTTTATTTATAACTAAGCTTTGGCTTTCCTGTCTGACAGATTCCTGCTTACATGGGAGATTTGTATTCGGCCCGGTCCATCTGGAGTTCGCTTGGGAAACAACTTTTGGAGGTTGCTCCCTGACATGGCCATTCGGGACGTCATGAAGCTTGGACGACGACACCCTTACCAGCCTGAAAGGTATGAAGGGCATCCATTTATTGTTTATGGTTGAAACATTTGTGCTTATTTGTAGATTTTTGCTTTCTCAGTATGAGGTTAGTTCACCTTGTTCGTGAGAAACTAGTGGTATGATACAGGAAATCTGGGCCAAACATTGTAAAACTACTATGTTCTTCTTCCTTTAATCTGTTTGTGGATGATTTTAGAACTTCATGAATCATGGAAATGAATATAAAAGGAAAAAATATGTGTGTAGCAAGTAGTAGATATTGTCCTCTTTAGGCTTTCCCTCTAGATTTCAAAACGCGTCTATTAGGGAGAGGTTTTCACACATCGTTATAAGAATTGTTTCGTTCTCCTCTCCAATCGATGTGGGATCTCACAATCCATCCCCCTTGGGGGTCCACCGCCCTCGCTGGCACACTACTCATGGCACACTACTCAGTGTCTGGTTCTTGTACTATTTGTAATTGCCCAAACTCATTGCTACTAAATATTGTGTTTTTTGGGCTCCCCTCAAGGTTTTCAAACTTGTCTGTTAGGAAGAGGTTTCCATACCTTTATAAGATATATTTCATTTTCCTCTTCAACTGACGTAGGATCTCACGCTCTCTCACTTTTTGCACATGTTAAATTGTTAATGATAGAGTGGACCAACAGTAATTACAATGATGATAAGCAAGCAAATGGGCTTCATTTGGTTATAAATTCCCAGGATTCTCAATTCAAGGTGACCCAACCCCACCAAGTTGCTTTGACTGACTTGGTTAGTTCGATGAGATGTTTAACAAACAGTTGCTTTTGCTTTGACTCAGTTCTTGGATGGAGGAAAAGGGTCCTTGGAAGCTCGCTGCAAATATGGTTGTGGCACTTGGATCTTGTGAAGGTGGCTGCGGAGGTAAGTACATGTCATGGCCCTCATAGCCACTTGATCTATATCAAAAATTCTCTCTTTAACTTTCTCAACCATCGAGAACCACCCAGTCTCAAGCCCAAAAAAGAGTCATTTGGAACCCATGAGGAGCATTTAAGTTATACCAGCGAAATGTACGTTAATGTACGTGGTGAGATCCTACATCAGTTGAAAAGGGGAACAAAGCATTTTTATAAGGGTGTGAAAACCTCTCTATAGTAGATGCGTTTTAAAATCTTGAGGCTGATGACGATACGTGGTGACCAAAGCGGATAATATCTACTAACGGTTGGTTTGGGTTGTTACAAATGGTATGAGAGCTAGACACCGGGTAGTGTGCCAGTGAGGTTGTTGGGCTCCACTCCCAAGTGGGACAGATTATGAGATCCTACATCAGTTAGAGAGGGGAACGAAACATTCTTTATAAGGGTGTGGAAACCTCTCCCTAGTATACACGTTTTAAAATCGTGAAGCTGACAACAATGCGTAATGGGCAGAAGCGGACAATATCTGCTATTAGTGGACTTGGGCGGTAACAAATGGTATCAGAGCCAGATAGATGGTGTGCCAGCGAGAATGCTGGGCTCCTAAGGAGGGTGGGTTGTGAGATCTCACATCGGTTAGAGAGGGGAGCAAAGCATTTCTTTTAAGGGTGTGGAAACCTCTCCCTAATAGATGCATTTTAAAATCGTGAGGCTAACGATGATGCGTAATAAGCCAAAACAAATAATATATGCTAGCAGTGGACTGAGTTGTTATAATAGTTGAATAAGAGTTTCGGTTTAGAGTGCCACCGTGACCTATTTTTGTTCTCTTCTTCATTTGAGAATCGTTGTTAAAGAAAGAGATCTTGTAAAATGTACTGGATCAATGGTGGAGTTCTTGCAGAAAAGGTTATGCTTGTGGTCGACGCGATATTGATGGAAGAGGGACTATAAGAAATCTCGAGCGTCGAAGTGAAGGGAAAAGAAGTATCGAAAAAAATGAGTGAAATAAAGCTCTTTTTTTATTTATTTATTTGACTGCCTTATATATAAATACTTAATTAAGTATGATGAATACTTCAAAGCTAAAACTTCCATATTAATTCAAATATTAATAAACCACTATTGTAAAAATAAAATAAAATAAATAAAAACTTCTTCGTGCAATGAATTTTACTCAATTTCTAATTTGTCACAGCATATTTTTATTTTTATTATTTTTAATATTTTTAATATTTTTAATTAATAATTCAAGTTAACACCTTTTTATTTTCGGTGAACATCCAAACAAAAAATAAATTAATTAAATCCATTTTACTATAAAATAAAGTTTTTTTTCCTATAATTATTAATTTCCAAAACACATAATTTAGCCTCGAGTTATTTTAACTTTTTTTAATTTTATTGGATAAAGGCAACAAATTTGTCCACATCAGCATAATAATTAAAATCTTAATATTTTTATTGGATCAATGACTTTTTTTTATTTTAAGTAATTATTTTAGTTTTCACTCTATTATTTTATTTTTAAGTTTTTAATAAAAAGATAATGTCATTATTTAACAAATAGTTAGAGTCCCATCAACCAATTCCAAACAGTGAATAATACAATAATTATATTCAAAATTCCAAGTATTGACCTTTTAAAAAATTAAAATCAAAATAGAAAAGAAAAAAACACAAATTTAGAAGTCAAATTATTATTAGAGAAAAAAAAAAGAAATTATCCGATAAATTTAAATAAAAAAGATAAAAATATAATATTTAAATAATACAAAATACTCCTAATAAATTTTAATTATGCTTTTAAAAATTTTACATTAAATTTTAACTTATTCGAAATTGGTAAAAGAGTACTTTTAAAATTAAAATAAATAATAAAAATTAAAATCATTATTATAATATATTAATTTATAAATATTAATTATTATGTAAATATATATATATTTATTTATTTATTTATTTTGGAACAAGCATTCAGCTAACGGCAAAAATCCAGGCGTGGGAATAAAACGGGGGGAGGGGAAACCGGTCCGAGGAGAGAGAGAGAGAGGGAGAGAGGGAGAGAGAAGAAGAAGAAATAATGGCGAGAAGGACCCGCCATGGCCAAGAGTTTTGAGTTTAAAGCATAAGCATATGTAACTCCACGGTCCACTCTTCACCCTCTTTCAATCTTCTTCCTCTTCTTTGAACTCGCAATTTACCCAAATTAATTATCTGCCCGGCTTCTCTTTCTCTCTCTATTGCTCTTGCTTTTCAAAAAGCGAACCAGCTACTTTTTGCAATTTCTCTCTTCTTCTCTCTCTCTCTCTCTCTCTAGCTTGATTGATATTACGTTTTTCTGGCTTTGTTTTGGTGATCGAGTCGAAGAGCTTCTTCCTTATCTGATCCGAGAATCAGAGGCCAGAAGATCCCTACCTCAACTTGTTTGATTTCTCGACGGAGTGTTTTTAGTCTTCTGTAAGTCCAAACTTCACCTTCTTGTCTCTAATTTTGAGCTTTTTTTTTTTTTTTCTTCTTCTTTTGATTGCGAATTTGGTTTTGGTTTTCGTTGCACTGTTTGTGTTTTGCGTGTAGTTGTGATCTTCAATTGTAATTATAAATTGCTGCATTGTTTGCTACTCTCGTGTTTTTGGTAGGTCAATTTTGGTTATCGATTCGTGATTTGTCTTTGTGATCTTTGGAATGGCTGCTTTCTGTGATGGCTATTTGGTGCATATGAAATTTGTGAAAATAGAGGAAAACATTCGAGAATTTGTATGAGATTTCATCACATCCATGAAAATTAAAAAGAGTGAGAGATTTTTTAGAAGTTTCTGAAAGAAAGGATGATCCGACAAAGCTATGGTAGATGGTCTTTACGGAGCTCAATATTTTGTCGTCTTGTTTTCTCTCCCCCTTTCACGGCAAATCTCTAGCAAATTTGTTTTTCAAAACTCCCCATTCGTTTGGTTCCTTTTTTACTCTGGTTTTTAAATCTATTCAATCTGGTGTTTTACAGAGTAACCGGCCTAGATAATGACAAGGATTAGCCGTACTTATAGTGACTCAATGCAAAGAGGGGGTGTCTCAGCTGTATCAGCTGATGTTATATTCGCTTCTAATCGGTTTCCAAACTACAAAATTGGAGCGAACAATCAGATTGTGGAGGCTAAAGATGATCCCAAAGTACTATCTATGAAGGAGGTAGTTGCTCGTGAGACTGCCCAACTGTTGGAACAGCAGAATCGCCTCTCGGTTCGAGACTTGGCCAGTAAGTTTGAGAAGGGTTTGGCTGCTGCTGCTAAATTGTCAGAAGAGGTTAGGTTTCTTAATGAATAATTCTGTTTCCTATGGAAACAAGAAATCCATCCACTTTTACATAATTTGTTTACAAGCTAAAGGTATTGCTTACTTACTATCAGGCTACCTGATCCTGTTCAGTAGAAATTGAAGCTATAAACTTAGCCTCTAATCTATTAAAAGGTTTTTAAAAATTCATGGAAGTAGGCTCAAAACTGAAAGGTCAAGATTTTATAGGAGAGAAATTCAATTTTGTGTCTTATAGCTTGACATTGAAAGTTTAGGGTCTATTAGACACAATCGGAAGTTTAGAGGCCTATTTAACACAAGATTGAAAGTTTATGTATAGTCACGGCTAACAAATATTGTCTTATTTGGGCTTTCTCTTTCAAGCTTCCCCTTAAGGTTTTAAAACACGTATGCTAGGGAGAGGTTTCCACACCCTTATAAAGAATGTTTCGTTCCCCTCTCTAACCAATGTGGGATCTCACAAACCACCCCCTTCAGGGCCCAGTGTTCTCATTGGCACTCGTTCTCTTCTCCAATTGATGTAGGACTTCCCAATCCACCCCCTTCAAGGCTCAGCCTCCACGCTGGCACATCGCCCGATGTCTGACTTTGATACCATTTGTAACAGCGCAAGCCCACCGCTAGCAGATATTATCCTCTTTAGACTTTCCCTCAAGGTTTTTAAAACGCGTTTGCTAGGGAGAGGTTTCCACACCCTTATAAAGAATGGTTCGTTCCCCTCTCCAACCGATGTGGGATCTCATAGTTTAGAAATCGATTGAACACCTTTAAGTATTAGAGACTTATTGAACACAAAATTGAAAATATATAGATGTGCTAGACGTGAGAGAACTATTTGATACAACCTTCAAAGTTCATGGACTTTAACTTTTAATTTGACTAAAATTAGAAATCATACTCTTAAAATTATCTTCATCTTTGAATGTGTTTAGATTTTAATTACTCTGTATCTCATGTAAATGAGTAATAATAGAAAGTCTTTCTCACACTTGCACACAAATATATACTCTCTTTGGACATCAAATTTTTATCAAGAAAATTATATTTGTTTGATCCATTTCATTCATGATTTGATGCAAGTTGAACATTGTGGATCGTTTCCCTTCGGCGAATTCTGCGTTCATAGTTCTATTTCAGCTAGGAAATCTGAAATTAGATGTTGATACCGAAGTACACAAATTATAATCTAGTTATGTGTGCAATTCAGGCTAGACTAAGAGAGGCAGCTTCACTGGAAAAACATGTTCTATTGAAGAAGCTTAGGGACGCATTGGAAGCATTAAGAGGACGTGTTGCTGGAAGGAACAAGGACGATGTAGAGGAAGCAATTGCAATGGTAGATTTTTTTACTTACTAGATGATGTTGCAATTGGAAATCTTGTAGTATAAATTTATGTTGGGAATGTTTGTATGTAATAGGTTCCTAAACTTTAAAGAGCATGTAATAAGTTCCTAAACTTTAATTTGAAAGTTTAAGGACTTATTAAACAATTTTTAAACTTCAAAGACCTATTTAACACAAACATGAAAGTTCACCGCTGAACTTATAATTTAGTCCAAGAAAAAAGCTTTCTAGAAGAATTTATTAACAAGACCTTACTGGGTGTTGGCCATAACATGAAAAGAGTTCTGATGATAAGAGTTATTTGGCTTAGGTTATATAATTGTGTATAATACAGTGAGATTTTTCTGCTTTTGAGTTATCTGCTATTTTTCTCAAGTCGTGGATGCTCTGAGAGTTTTATGCGACCGTTTTGTTGAAAAACATTTTCATCCCCACATGATAGAGTAAGTATGTCTGTGTTCTATGTCTGCCAAATTGGTCTGTATCACGTACCAGTCTGGCAAGGACTTTCTTCTATTCCTTTATTACTTAAACCTACCTTTCTGGTTCTAAC